TAAACCACCAGCTGGTTCAGATACAGTGCTGCTTGGGCAAGGAGTGGCCTGCATGAACTCTCAAAACATATAATAAAATTATTTGGACTTTCTTTATCACAAAATAATTTTATTACTCCAGTATTCTCAAATAATGCAACACAGTGTTGAGCACACAACAGTTGCCCAATGAAAGTTTACTGACCAGATTAACCAGTAAAATGGCTGTAGGGAAAAGGAGAACTGGATTATTCCCAGCTCTATAAACAGTCTGAAACTTGGAGGAAATCAGTCAGTTCCTCCAGGTCTTCACTTCCCTTCACTTCTCTGTGAGTCGAAGGTCCCTTGGATTCTCGTAGTGCTGTGACTCCATGGTTCCGATTAACCTGATCTGTAACCACTTCACGTTGGCTATCAATATCATAGAAGGGAAATAAGAAAGGTTGGCTTCTAGTGTCACTTTGTCCACCAATCAGCATTTTAATGTAGCTCAAATCATTTAATTTCCCTGGGATTCCACCTATAGAAGCCTTTTTGAGACAACAACTCTGTGATTCCATCACAATGGCATACCAAGTTACATTCTTTGCTTATTCATATTATCATTTCTGATGTTTTTCAGGGGAAAAAATGGCTCAAAATATTATCAAAATTACTTTTAAATATTTTAACTGTCCATTCATTAAACAATATAGTTTTATGTTCATTTATTTCTGTCAAATGTAAATTTATCTCAAATGTCTAATCAGTGTTTATTATCAGTTCCTTTATTAAAAATATGGTAATGTTAGTTACTATTTTATTTAGAAAAAATATCTTTGACTCCATGGGACTACTATGCTCAGAGAGTCACACTAGTTATAAAATGCTTCACCCATAACTTAGAAAATCCTCATAGAGAAATTTCAGAAAGTTCAAACTAAGCTACAAGACTTTGATTTGCCCTCTAGAAGTAAAAATGTGATTTACTTTTTCAAATGAAACAGACTTGTTATCAGCAAATATTTACACAAAGACCTGCTGATAACCAAATGGTTTAACTAGCCAGACGTTAAGTGACAAACCCAGCATGATAAGAATCTGTAGATAAGGAAATGAATAAAGGTATACTGACTGTATGCCGCATGCATTTATATTTGAATGGATGGGTATTCATCTGTCCATTCATTCATTCAGTAAGCATTCATGGAATTCTGCTAGGTACTAGACACCTGTTGACTGGGGATGAGAAAGTGGTAAGACATGATAAGACCTGGCCCTTTCCCAGAAGATATTCCCAATCTAAGAGACAGTACAAATGTGTCAATAAGAACAGTGCCCTTATGAGTTCTATACTAGAAGTATATACAACACGAAAGGAAAGAGAGTGTAACTACAGGCCCAGAAATAAGAAATAATAGATTTAGATCCCCCTAACAAGAATGACAGGTGTGGAATCAGACACACAATGTAGCTATGTGTAAAACAGTAAAGGAGAAGGATATAATTATAAACATGAGCATACAATAGAACTCTACAGATTGGAGAAAAATAAGATTTTTAAAACTGTAAAGTTGAATTATTGATATCTGAAACTCAGTAAACTAGTTGAGCATATACAGTAAAGAAAGAAAAGAAAATAGAACAGAAGAAAGCAGCTTGTGATAGAGAATGCAAGGGCCTAGAAGTGTATAAGCAAAGTAACAGAACAAGGGGATGTTAAGCAGTTTCCTGGCCTCTGCCTGATGCAAATCTGATGCAAATACCACCCTCTTCCCTCAGTTGTGAAAATTAATGTCTTCAGACATTACCAAATGTCTCTGAGGCACAAAATCACTCCAGTTGAGAATCACTACCGTAAAAAACATATGAGAAACACAAATTACTGGCCTATTTCACTTATGGTTATGAATGTAAAAATCCTAAAAATAATTGCAAATTGGATTTAATAGCAAATGAAATATTAAATCCAGTTGAATTTTTTCCTGAAATGCAAAGATGATTATATATACAAAAAGCTATAAGATTATAGTCCATGTTGACACATTAAAGAAAAACTCTATGTCCTTTCATAAATATATATGTATCTGTGTCTGTACATACATGTATATACATGCACACACCATATACTAGGGTGTCCACTAGTAGGCGGTTCTTTCTCCTCTGTATTTCCCTTTTTAATTTACACCTTATAGTAACCAACCTGCCGTGTGAATTAGAAACCATGCTTTAAGTTCAGCGCTATGCATGAGAAAAAGGGATCCCACGTAACTGAGCTAATCAGAAGCCTTCTCCACAAGTTTATAGATCTTTAGAGAAAAGATTAAAAAAGTAAGAATAGCTAACAAGGCCATTTACAAATGTTTCATTTCCATTGAAAAGTAGACTCCAGATTTATTTTAATAGTATAACAAATGTTTACTATGTTGATCTGTATTTTATTTCATTTAATTTTATTATTTTGTTTTATTTTTTAATAATAAAAGATGGGAAAAGATTTATTAATGAAGTGCTAAAAGATCTGTATTTTAAAAAGCAATTCCATGAAGTTACATTCAACTTATATTAATGCAAAAAAAAAAGTGTTTTCAAATGATTAATTCTATATCTGTAGCATTCAATACAATGGTTTTTGAAACCAACCAGCCCTTACTGTTAGCATCCAGTAAATAAATATGAATGACTCATCAGTGAACTCCCATGAATTGAAATGCTTATTTGCAGTGGCTTTAGAATGCACCCAATTTCAAAATGACCTCTATTATTTTTTATTTAATTATGTATGTAAATGAATCTGAGATCACTGTATGTTCCACAATCCAGCAAGCTGGTTCTCTAACATCACTATGTCTACCAGCCATTTAAGGAAATGAATAGGAAAAGATTATGAGATGTAAGGAGACTGTGAGCTGGTTCTTTACGCTGGAGGATGTTGCACTCCAAACCACCATCCCCAGAGCTACATCTCACTAAGTAGGAAGTCAGTGTTAGCTCAGAGTCACACTCTTGATTCTCACAAATCCTGACCTCCCTCTTACTCAGTCTGTGCAAAAGCACATGGGTTAAGTGAAACCATGGAAATCACTTCTCTAAATGTTTTGACGATTGTATGAAGAGCAACTAACTTCAATTAAATATGAGATAATTGCAGGTCAATTAATTAGGGGGTACAAAGTATATCATGACTTATTAGCCTAATAGTTATTATAAACATAATTGCAATAGGTATACCTAACCACCAGCTAATTGGTGCTAATAAAGTGCTGGGCACTTCAAATATATCTATAATAAGGATGACGGTGATAACAATACTCAACTGAAAGAAACAAAGAGATTGCTGCCTGTCAGGGAACGGAAGGGTCATGACAAGAAATATTCTCATCATGTAGTCCATGCTGTCTTCAGCAGTCACTGTCCCACTTTTCATTAGGACACCATGGGATCCTTCAGTCCTCCTGTTCTGGGATATTGAATCAACAGCGAGAACACCACTGACAGATAATCTCAGCAGTAATAAAGATTTAAAGGAACCTGGGTAAATTTAGGGCTTGCCTTTATTAATTTACACTCTCCAGGGCAGAGGACCTTGCTTGGGGTGTGGCCTATTTCAGGAAAGCCCAAAGGCAGTTGCCTTTGAATATCTGCCTGCTTACCTGGGGCCTTTCTTGTCGCTGCCTGCCAGAATTTGCCAGAAGGGACTGAGCCACACTGCTTCCTAAGAATTTGATAAATCCTCCAACCTACTCATACCTACAGCTTGTCTTGCCTTGGCATCTCAATCAAACCCACAGCCTCAGCCCCAGTTGCCTTCAGCTGGATGTCCTTTGTTTATTTTGTTTTCTCCTACTAACTTACTCACATATGGCCCATTGGAAATAGACATTGTCACAGGTAAAAAATGAGGAGGATTTTTAAATCAGTGAGAAAACATAGAATAAATACACTTCTAAGAGATCTAAAAAAATGCTTTAGCATTTTAGTAATATGACTAGATGGGGGGGGGGATCAGAAAGGATAGTAATAAGACATCCTATAGCGTTCCTTTTAACTTGAATATCTCTCCTTAGAGAATAAGAAAAGAGACCAGTCTCTGGTTCCCATTATATTCCCAATATGGGCAGTAACTGAATTTATAAATGGGAGTAAAATTCATAGTTATCATCTGAACACCGACTATATACCACCCACTATGCTAAATGCTTTAGACGCATTATCTTATTTAATCCCATGGCAACTTTTGTGATTTTACAAAGTACCATTATCCCAAATATAGATGAGAGAAGAGTCTTAGCAAGACAATAAAATTCATAGGGCTACCTAAACTGTTAAGTGAGAGACTGAGACTCCAATCCAGGTCTCTTTGAATCCAGTGCATTTAACTCCATGCTATAATGCCGTAGAATACCATTCTGAAAGGTTTGGGCTGATGTTTCGATCTTTGCCTCTAATCGGTAAACTCCTTCAGGGCAGAATTTATCTCTCATTAATTTTTATATTTGCAGAATATGGAATAATGCCTGTTACAGAGCAGGAACTCAATGATTGTCAAATGAACCAAATGATGAATTAATAAATAAAAAAAGGCAGAAATTAATTTTAAAAGGAGACAGTAAATTGAAGTTTGTGAAAAAAGCTAATTCTGCACCAAGAATACTATCCCTGTTGTTGGTTTGGTGCCCCTCCATTTCCACTGTACCAACATATGAGTATTTTATGATAAGCACCATTTTTACTTTAGAATTAAATGAAATGCTTTCGAAAATACGTACTTTACCCAGGGATTTAAATGAACGATTGAAATTCCATAATCAGAACATGACACGACCAAGAAAGCGTATAATCATATGTTTCCTATAATAAGCTACTTGAAGTGTTCTTAGGGGTACAATTTTGTAATCTAGAAATGAGAGGAAGATCTCTGCTCTTGACAACATTCAACACAGGCACTTCAACTGGCTTTGGATCAAAGACAAACTCCCTCTTTTGCATTACATAGATGTTCTCTCTTTCCTTATCTGTAAGTGGACAGTCCTAACCGTTACCTTCACATCCTCTGCCATCTTCCTCCAGCTTCTGGCAAGCTTGACCCTTGCAGTAGTAACTGCCAATTGTATTGCGGCATTGGTTCTGACAGGCACCATTGTCAATGGTACATTCATTTATATCTGCAATTGAATATTTAAACAGAATTAGCCTCCTCTAACCAGACACATAAAAAGACTTCAGTGGGTCTCTTAAAAATGGACCATAAGAGAATGACTTTATTCCTTGACCTCAGATTAAATGACATAACACTACAATATCTTACTTTAATTAGAACTAAGGTACTCTAATTTTGACGTAAAGGAAAAGGCAGGTCATAGCCTTTGGCACTTAAAATATTTTTGAACAGAGTACTAAGGAGTTGTTTAGTCTTACGGAATTTGGAGACTTACAATATGCGTCCAGAAATTTCATATTCGAGTCATCATTTGATGACTCACACACATTGAGTCAGAACACTAGGTTGCCTATTTGTCCATTAAGTAAAGGCTGTTACTGGCTTCTCAAATAAATAACTATTGAGCACCCCCACTATATATCTGGCATTGTGCTGGGCAGGGTGGTAGAGGTAGAAACATAGTTCCAAGGTTTCCAGTGGTTAAAATCCAGGTGGGGATGAGGACCACAAGGAAGTGTGATTTGGTTGCGTCCACGTACTGGATATGTCCACACTCCATTCTAAACCTGCGGCCAGAGCCTATCTTTACAGATGTCTCCCCCCCATCTGGTTTAGAGGTAATAAGCATCCCAACACGTCTGTAGATTTGAGAATGGTGTGTCCTGCTCACAAGAGGCTGCTCTCCTCCATGTTCCCTAACTGACCTACTAAATCTTTGCCTCTGGAGATGAGTGTGGCTGGAAGAGAGAGAGAGGGTAAAAAGGGCAGGAAGGAAGTGGGGAGGAGCAGGTAAAAATGGGAGAGAGACAGAAGGAAAATGTGTTCATCCGAAAGAGCAGAAGAAGCTGACAGAGTAGAATCACAGAAAATGAAGGGCTGAGTGGTCCTGACTGCGGAACCATGAGGACAGGGCACTGATACTGGAGGAGCGAAGAACTGACAGGCAGAGTGAGCTGTGGTGCTTCCTGACTGGATGTTACGGTCTGAGGCATGGTTGCGCAGGTGTTGAGACCGTTTTTGTTTGTTTTTAGGTGACTTTTTATTGAAATGTGCCATAGACACAGAAAAATATATAAATCCTAAGTATACTGTTGGGTGAGTTTTTCAGATATAGAATAGACCAATGTAACCACACTAAAGAGAACATTACCCTGCCTGGCTGAAGGTAGCAATGAGCCCCATCTTTAATCACTAGGGGTTACAGGTTTTGTCTTTTTGAACTATATAAGCAGAATCATACTGTATTTGTGTCTGCGTTGTGTGGCTTCTTTTTTTAAAAGGACTTTATTTATTTATTTGAGACAGAGAGAGAGAGAGCAAGCACAAGCAGGGGGAGGCAGAGAGAGAGGGAGCAGTAGACTCCCTGCTGAACAGGGAGCCCAACATGGGGCTTGATCCCAGGACCTTGGGATCATGACCCGAGCCAAAGGCAGACACTTAACCTCCTGAGCCACCCAGGTGCCCCTGTGTCTGGTGTCTTTCAGCATTCTGCTTCTGAGATATACCCACGTTGTTGCATACACTTGCAGTTTGTTCATTCTCATTCCTGTATATCATACAATTCTATAAATACACCACAATTTTAATTGACCCATTTCATAGCTGATGAGATATTGGATATTTTCTTATTTGGGGGTTAAGAGTGCCGTTATAAACATTCTCAGAACTGTCTTCAGTGAACTCACGTGTGCCCTTCTGTTGAGTAATATATCTAGGACTGGAATTGCTAGGTCAAAAAGTATGATATGCTTGGCTTTGGTAGTTATAGCCACATAGTCTTCTAAAGAAGTTAGGATCTAAGTTATACTCTCACCAATGGTATATTAGATACCAGATGCTACTCATGCATCCCTGCGAACATCTGGGATAGTCTCTTTTGTTTTGTTTTATTTTTATTCTTCTGGGAGAGTGCATAATATGATCATATTATAATCTGTAATTTGCATTTTCTTGATGACTAGTTAGTTTAAGCACATTTTCATGTTATTGGGCATTTAGATAACATCTTGTTGAAGTGCTTGTTCAAATATTTTGTCCATTTGTCCAGTTCTTAAATTATTGGTTACTTTACTAGGGGGTGAGATAGAATGTTAAATAGCAGTGGTAGTAATGATCGTCTTTGCCTTGCTTCTGAATGCAGAAGGATTTTTTTTTTTTCTACATTTCACTGTTAAGTATGATGTCTACATAGTTGGGTTTTTTTAATAGATTAGTTTTATCAGATTAAAGGATAGGGTTTTTTTTTTTTAACATTTCACTGTTAAATATGATGTGCACATAGCTGGGATTTTTTTTATAGATAAGTTTTATCAGTTTAAGAAATGTCCTTTCTACCCCTACTTTCTTTACTATTTGTATTATAAATAGATGTTAAGTTTTATTTTATTATTTATTTTATTTATTTATTATTACTAATTTTTCTGAATCTATAAAGATAGTTATATGGTTTTTCTTGTTCATTCTGTTAATGCAATAGATAAAGCTGATTGATTTTTGTATCCCTGAAGTAGAGGTGGTCATGATACAGTGACTTTTTAATGTATATCTGGATTCAGTTAGCTAATATTTTGTTTAGAATTTTTGAGATTATATTTATGAGAGAGACTTGTCTATATTTTTTATTTCTTGTAATATCCTTGTTAGATTTTGGCATCCAGATCATACTAGATACGTAAAACAACTGGGAAAGGTTTTTTCTCTTCTATTCTCTGAGATAATCTATATAAGATTGTTATCATTTCTTACTTAAATGTTCAGAAGAGTTCATTTGTGATTCCATCTGGGCCTGGGATTATGATTGTGTACTTATGCGTATGTGTGTATGTGTGTGTGTGCGCACAGTTTTTAATTACAGATTCAGTTTCTTTAGTAAATATAAGAATATTCAGATTTTTATTTAAACATGTAGAAAAATTATGTGTTTCAAGGGGTTTGTCCCTATCATGTAAATGTTCAAATATATTGCTGTTAAGTTGTTCACAATAGTCTCACACTATCTTTTTAATGTCTGTCTAATTTGTAATGAGGTCCCCTTTCTTATTCCTGAAATAAGTGTGTGTCTTCTCTTCTATTTTTGATCAGCTTTGGTATCTATCTATCTATCTATCTATCTTTATCTTTAAAAAACAAATTTTTGGCTTTATTGGTTTTTCAGTATTCCACATTTTTCCATTTAATTACGTTAGCACTGTGATCTCTATCATTGCCTTCCTTCTACTTTCTTTAGATTTCTTTCACTGCTCTGCTTCTAAGTTGTTGAGATGGAAATTTATATCATTTATTTTTAGACTTTCTTCTTTTAAAATATTTCTGGTTATCTACGAGTGGGTAACAAACCAGTCCCAAATTCATTTAAAAAGGCAATTGACTGGGGTGCCTGGGTGGCTCAGTTAGTTAAGTGTCTGACTCTTGATCTCAGCTTGGGTCTGGATCTCAGAGTCATGAGTTTAGGTGTAGGTATTAGGGAGGGCATGTATTGCATGGAACACTGGGTGTGGTGCATAAATAATGAATCGTGGAACACTAAAAAAATAAAATTAAATTAAAAACAACAACAACAGGGCGCCTGGGTGGCTCAGTGGGTTAAGCCACTGCCTTCAGCTCAGGTCATGATCTCAGGGTCCTGGGATCGAGTCCCACGTCGGGCTCTCTGCTCAGCAGGGAGCCTGCTTCCCTCTCTCTCTCTCTCTCTGCCTGCCTCTCTGTCTACTTGTGATCTCTCTCTGTCAAATAAATAAATAAAAAATCTTTAAAAAAAAAAAACACCAACAAAAAGAAAGCAGAAAGAAAAAAAAGGCAATCTACTGTTATCTTTCACATTTTTGAGGACTGACGGACTCCATTTGATGGTCTTCATTTGGGATTTCAAGTACGGTAGCAGTCAAGTGACAGTCAGGGTTAAGCTTACATAAGGCCTTTTAACTCATATGTTGGGATTGGGGCTGAGATGGTTGGAATATTTGCGTGGTTGGTGGGGCATTGATATCTCTCTCCACGTGCCCAAATTTGACTTTCTCACTAAATGGTGGTCTAAAGGTAGAGACATTTTACAAGGTGGTTATCATTCCTCAGTGAGACTTTCTAAGAGATCCAAACAGAAGCTACAAAGCTCCTCATGACATAATCTTTGAAGTACATCGGATTGTTTCTTAGATATCTTTTGGTTAAAGCAGTCACAGGCCAGCTGAGATTCTAGGATGTGGAGAAATTCCTTCCCACAATGTGGGAATTGCCGAATTTCAGGAAAGAAAGAAATTGATGGCAGCCTTCTTGGACAGAGCATATCACAGTAATACAAATTTTCCTAAAAATAAATTATTAGCTGCATCCCACAGGTTTTCTTTTGTTATAATGTGTCATCACTCAATTCAAAATATTTCCTAATCTACCTTAACCCTTCTTTGGGTTATTTCGAGGTACATTTTGAAGGTTTTTCAAACATTTGTGGCATTTCCAATTATCTTGTTCGTATAATACGCTGTATCAATTTGGCCAGCTACACAGTATAACTTACATGACTTCAATTCTTCAAAACTTGTTAAGGTTTGCTTTATATTCCAGCATATGGTCAATTTTGGTTAAAACAAAAAATCTCTGTTTACTGGAAAATAAGATCTATTCTACAATTCTCAGGTGCTACGTTTTCTCTAAATATATATGCAACAGACATATTACATGTATATACGTATTTTATATACATATTTCAAATATGTACAAATATGTATATTTAATGAGTTCGAGTTTATTAATCATGTTTTTCATATCATTGTATCATTGTATCCTTAAGGACTTTTTTATATGTTTATTGTATCGGTTAGTACAATCTACATGATTTTATGTTTGCCCTTTTATGACTACAAGTTGTGTTTTATATATTTTGAAGCTCTATTGTAAGTGACATACAAATTTAGAATTGCCACATCTTCCTAGCAAATTAATGCTTTGTTATTTTAAAATGCTCTTCTTTAGATACAGCTATATTTCTTTCATTAAAGTTGAGGTTTA